AGCCCAGTCCCAACACCTCAATTCGAGCTGCCAAAGAAGATCTGGGAATCATACTACGAACTTTGTCGCGCTTTTCATGCAAAAAAATTAAATTAAGAATTTCTTGATTTGTGTAAATATTACTTTCGTTATTGTTATCGATTTTAACTCGTTTCAGTACTAATATTAAGGGACATAACAGATAATTATTAGTTCACATGCATCAAGTGACGTAAACAAGTGACAAGAACTCATTGAGAAGGCTTGTTTTTCATGGCACACTAGGCTAAATATCCATATTATGATATGTGTGCATTTTTCAAAAAACCCTAATTATCTCCCAAACTATTAATATTAGATATGGGACATATGGGATATAAAAGATGTAGAATGAACTACCGAAGACGACTAAGAAATAAAATATGGGGGGTACCATTTAAAAAAATGAAGTTATGGTACTTCCAAATTTTGAAAAGTTAACGTGCCATAGTAAAGTGACCAAACCTTCTAGACAGCAGTTCTCGGTACCAAAACATACTCCATCATGTTGCTTAAGCATGTTCTCAATCCTAAATTGATGTCCCAAAAATCGAGTGTTCTCTGATTTTTTGAACAAATGTCTGCTGGAGCAGATTTTTCTGGAAAAATTCGAATAACTCGAGAACGGTCGAATTAAATTGCAAAAAGTAAAGTTATTTATAAACCTTGAAAACAGACAAATCCAAATATGTAAAATATACAGGGTGTTCCATTTAAAAAAATAAAGTTGGTGGCGACTTCCGGTATAACCGGAAGTGCCAGAAATCTGAAATATATTTTAGATGAAGAGAACGTAATTGATAATACCTAAGTCTGCATTCTCAAATTTTTTGTTTTTCCAGAACCCCAGAAACGTCTAATGACCGGTCTCGCTGAGACACCCTGTATAACTTCGAATACAGAAAACTACTACTAGAAAAGAAAATTTTGTGATGTGAGACACTTGCATTATTGAGTCTTTGTGGAAAAAATTGGGGCCAGCAAATTGGGGTATATCATTTATGATGGATTGGACTGTGGGCTGATGAGAGATTTCACCTACTGTGGACCAGTTATCTTGGAATGAAACACGCTACCTAAGTTGTTTATCAACATCGCCACTGTCAAACCTGAAAATATTTTAGCACTTACTCGTAGCAGCATTAACCCCTTCACGCCCAGAATTAAATTGAAAATAATCTCTGCAACACCAACTTGAGCCTTAACTTGAACTTTCCAGCCTTAAAAATCTCAATGTCACAGCAACACTACTATCTTATATTAAAATACGTTATGACGCCACCGTTGGCGTTTTTGGTGAAAAGCACATTACTAGAACGCCACCGTTGGCGTCACTGGGCGTGAAGGGGTTAAGGTTCTAATGGGTGGACTGCACGGTGAAATTTGAAAATGTTATCTATCGGTGCAAGGTTGTTTGGTCTGCCTACCCGATATATATAATTTATGTAATATAATGTACTTGTATGGTTCTTATCAAAGATTGAACCTAGGCAACACAAATTTTCGAAATGTGACTCTATAGAAGAATACTGAGGATCTCATGGGTGGATAGAGTAACTAACATTTTGCGATTTTGAAAGGATTTGGAAGTGAAAAATACCATCAAGAGAAAAAATCTGGATTTTCTTGGACATATTATGATGCAAACATTACCTTTTGCGAGCCACTGAAGAGGACTCACCAAATTATTCAGAGCAACCATAAATAAAGTTATCATTTCCTTAATAGGTACCTGAAGAAGGCTCTTCCTGCTAACTCTTTTCGTGCAGATTCTTTTGATACTATGCAAGAAGCGCTTGATACAGAATGTAGTTAAATTAGAAAGTAGCGGATAAATGGAACAAAACATGTTTTAGAAATGAGTTTTCGTAATGTAGCGAGAGGATCTTATAAACTGAGGATTATATGTTGAAAAGTCAAAAATATTATCCAGATGATGTTGACGAACAAGATTAGGAAATGAAACTTATGACTAAGACGAATGCAAGAGCAGATATAAGTAATTGTTCTATAAAAAGGAACGGAAATCTGAGATAAGTCTATAACAGACAATGTAAGGAAAGGTGTGTCACATATGTACGTTATGTTACAAGATAAATGAGAAGAGAAGTTGACATTTTGAAGATAAGAAAAAAAAGCGACAAAGAAATTGAATGAAATATTCTAAGGAATGATTACAATAATATAAAAATAGTTTGGGTTATAGCTATTAGATACCTTGGAGTATATTGGACTCTACAACTAAATTATTATGACAATAAATGTTCTTATCCCAATATTACTTGGTTATTCTTATTACTTCATCTTTTTATACTTATTTATTCTTCAATCCCTCTTGCATATGAAATAAAAACATAGTAAGATGAAGTTGGATCAAGAAAAAGTTTTATATTTCCAGTACTGATATGTCAAGGACTAGATAACAAGAAAAATTTACCAAATGTAGTCTTGATATGGTCAAATTTCCTGTTATAGGTTTTCTTTCTTACCATCGTTGAAATATCTCTCTGTTAGATTACTAAATATTTACTCGATATTTATCTGACTTTCAGGATTCTTGTTTTAAAATGTAAGATTATCTTATGATGAACGACTCAATAGCTTAAGTAATGTATTATTAAATTTTTTCCTTGTTCTGCAACTATTGTATTTATCTGTATAATATCCAAAATATTGTAAAAAAGGCGTCTAAAAAGTCAGTAAGGTTTTTGCATTTAACTAGAGATTAGGTTATTGGTAACTTTTTCCGGAAGTTAGAGATAAAACTAGCTGGAGGAAGTAAATGAAATCTGGTTGCTTTAATAAGTCTATTACCCTGATGAAGCACCAATCCCGAAAGTCGTACAATTTAAGCATTGATTTCTAATAATGAGGAAGTCGATGTGGAGCATAAAGTCGGCGAGACCTGGCTGAAGCTGCCATGAAGAGAAACTGTGACTGAGAAACTTACAGGAGTTGCCTGAGATGATACTTTATGCACAGAGACGAACATCATATTGTAAGAAGAAAAGTGCAAGCCTCAAAAAAGAATAAGCAAAGAAGATGATTTGTACACATCCTTTCAATTTTATTGCCAATCAATGTTACGAGACATTCAAGATATTCTGCAGTAATGAGGTTGAAATTGAAAGCCTTACAAATATTGTTGCCTTTCCCAATATGGTAGCGCATTTTCTGTTGTGTCTGTATTGCACTACAAGTATCTTTATCATAAACTGATTACAAACCAATTTTAACACCTCTTTTTGTGTCTTATCTGAGTACTAAAAGTAGCTTTAGGTCTATAGACATTTCTGCAAATTTCTGACATTTCTCTACATGCAGCATACCTTCTTCTTAAAGTGCCTTCTCCATTACTGAAGTGACAAGAAAATAGATTTAGGCATAAATACAAAAATTAATCGCTTTTTATATTATACAGGGTCATCCACGACGACCGTCCATTAGAACTTTACAGGTTTCTGGCCAATACAAAAATTTGAAAATTCAGGTTTAAGTATTATTAATTGCGTTCTCTTCGACTAAAATATTTTCAGATTTTTAGCACTTCTGGTTATACCGGAAGTCGCCACCTACTTTATTTTTTTAAATGGAACACCCTATATATTTTTACATATTTGGATTTGTCTGTTTTCAAGGTTTATGGATAACTTTACTTTTTGCAATTTGATTTGGCCGTTCTCGAGTTATTCCAATTTTTCTAGAAAAATCTGCCCCAGCAGACATTTGTTAAAAAAATCAGAGAACACTCGATTTTTGGGATATCAATTTAGGATTCAGAATGCGTAAGCAACATAATGGAGTATGTTTTGGTGCCGAGTACGGCTGTCTGGATCGTTTGGTCACTTTACTACGGCACGTTAACTTTTCGAAATTTGGAAATACCATAACTTCATTTTTTTAAATGGCACCCTCCATATTTTATTGCTTAGTCGTCTTCGGTGTCTCATTTTACATCTTTTATATCCCATATGTCCTATACCTAACATTTATAGTTTAGGAGATAATTAGGGTTTTTTGAAAAATGCACACATATATCGATATTTAACCTAGTGTGCCATGAATACCTAGTGTGACCTAGTGTATAACCATATGAACTGGCCTTTTGAAAATTTGCAGACTTCTGTGCTTGATGCCAGCTTTTTACTAGAATATTTTCAGGTTCCGGGACAATTTTCATATTTCAAATGGAACACCCTGTATTTCATTACATTTTTGTTCAATTTTAGGCCCCTGTATATTGCACTCTCCATAAATCATTATCAAATTCAAATAATCCTCATTACTAAATTCCAAACGTGGCATTTCTTGAGAACAGATCACTACAAAAAGTAACCTAGTCATCACACCAACAGAAGTAAACCATAGCTTTAGCAAATGTCAAACTGTTTACTCTTTCCTTACTGATCCTCTGATAATACATAACCACAACAACATTCCCAACACAAAATTTTTTTTCCGGCGGTCAAAGTAGATGATTTATAAATTATAAAAAGTAACGTTGTAGTTGACATTTTTGATTGAAAAATGTTATAAAACTCAGGGTGTTCCATTTAAAATATGAAAATTGTCACCTCTTCCGGTTTAACTGTGCACTTTTCAATAAACCCTAATTATTTCCCAAACTATAAATGTTAAGTATAGGACACATGGGATATAAAAGATGTAAAATGAGACAGCGAAGACTACTAAGTAATAAAATATGGGGGGTGCCATTTAAAGAAATGAAGTTATGGTACTTCCAAGTTTCGAAAAGGTAACGTGCCATAGTAAAGTGACCAAACGTTCTAGACAGCCATACTCGGCACCAAAACATACTCCATCATGTTGCTTAAGCATGTTCTCAATCCTAAATTGATACCCCAAAAATCGAGTGTTTTCTGATTTTTTGAACAAATATTTGCTGGAGCAGATTTTTCTAGAAAAATTCGAATAACTCAAGAACGGCCGAATCAAATTGCAAAAAGTAAAGTCATTCATAAATCTTGAAAACAGACAAATCCAAATATGTAAAAATATATAGGGTATTCCATTTAAAAAAATAAAGTAGTTGGCGACTTCCGGTATAACCGGAAGTGTTAGATATTTGAAAATATTTTAGCCAAAGAGAACGCAATTGATAATACTTAAATCTGAATTTTCAAATTTGTATTTTGGCCAGAACCCTGTAGAGTTCTAATGGACGGTCGTCGTGGATGACCCTGTATAGGCCAAAGATTGTTGTTAAATTTTTGTACTTCAAACAAAATTAATCTCTACATTTCTTTGTACATCTTTAATGACTTTACTGAATATGGTCTATCTATTCCATGGGAGAGTATTGATGTAAGGCTAATGCATCAAAGAAGAATTTTTAACCTTCATAAAGATTTTTAAAAGTTAATAAATAGCATTCCTTAAAAGTCAGATTATATTCTAACCTAGCTTTTTAATTGCACAAAACGAAACTGGTTATAGTTTTAATTATTTTATTAAACAGTACCCCTCAATACAACATATATATTATATAAAACATAGAAGGCAGATCTAACAGTAACATTTTACAAATTGCCAGGAATAGAATATATTGACTGTACTAATTTTTTTATCATTGCAATACTTTGTTTTATATTCTATGTGGTATATTAATAGGAATATTATTGTTCTAACAACAAAACGAAGTAGTGGGAAAGCGTGAAATTGAAGACACATGACGGTTATCCTTGACAACTACCATCAGGACACGAATTCACCTTGGTTGGCTACATCGGTGGATGGGAATATCCTGATCCGTAGGGCGGGGGCATTCCCATTGGGGGTGGCGCGTACATCTGGGGCATATTTACTGCCTAAACACAAAGTAACAACAATTTAATAATGAATACCGGTTTCAACAGAAATGGAACACTTACAATAATTGTATTTTCGTGGGAATACCAGGGAAAACAGAAAAAAATTAAAAATAAAAAAATTATTAATCTTGTAAGCTGATTTGAAATGAGTTGAATGTAATTTTGCATGCTAATTTTATAAAAAAAGTAATAAATAAGAAAGCGATGATACTGAGGAAGAGAGAGGTGAAAATATAATTAAGATTGTTTCACTTACAGGGGAATAAGGTGGTGGAGCTGATGGCATTCCGGGTTGCCCGTATGGTTGACCAGGTGCGTACATTTCGGGTTGTCCATTGTAATTTGGTTGGGAACCATACGCTGGGGGATTACCTTCAAATGCAACCAATGACAATGTTATATCCCCTTCAATACCTAAATGGGTGATTGCTTGGAATGGTATTCTGTGGCGAAAATCGCAATAGTGTCTTCCATTAATTGCAAGCTAAAAATTAAAATATCTTGTTATTATCTATTTTTATTTAAAATTCAATAATTATCCCTTCCACATATTATGTGAGATAACATACTTTTGATCCACTATGTACATAGGTTTAAAAAAGGATTTGGTTACACTTTTCTAGACTATTGTTATTATGTTACTCATAGTCACATGATTCATAATACCTTAGCCATTTGTATATAATTAACATCTAATTAGTTATATACCTTAAATTGCATATCTTCAATTAAAATCAACAACTCAAATGGGACCCCATTCTGTATAGGTAAATCTCCATCACCTTCTTCCATCTGCCAATCCCCATTTTGAAAAGAATTCCTAGCAACATATCCTTGCATCATGCGAAATGAAATATGATAAGCTATATCATCAGTATCGTAAGCAGTGGGTTTTGTTTGAAAATTAATATCAAATCTATAAAAATATAATAATTCTTTTATTATTGATTATCAAATTTTCTATTATATGGCAAATATGATTCTAACCGTTCTCCATTTGGAGGGGTATATCCTCGAATACGGACCATTTTCCCCGGAAAAAGGGGCCCATCGAAAGGCGCCGTTAATGGGACCCCCTGGAAATAAGCAATTATTAAATAAGAAACATTCTTGCGGAAATTTTAAGATTTGAAACTTACCGGATTTACGAGCGGTTGAGCCATAATCGTCTTCCGGACTTTACGTTGTTGTTATCTAGAAAAATGAGGCGCGGTCACTCACAAGTGAATTGTAACTGTTTTGTGTATTTATCGGGTGTTAAACCGGGCGGTTTTTTTCTGAGAAGGTAACCTCAATGAAGGTCAAAAGCCTTCTTCTAATCCTAAATCCGACACGAATGCGCCATCTATCCGCAAATCGTCTAAGCATAAAGTAATGATTTAAAAAAATTGTTGAATTTTATTACGCAATTTATTATTAACAAACATTTCACGTTAAATAAATAAATAAAATTATGCTAAAAACTATTTGTTAAAAATTTTATTATAAATGTATTAAATGATGTATTAAAAAAAAAATAAATTGATTTTGATGGATAGTTTTATTGTTATCGTGAATTATAATTAATGATAATTTTTTAAGAGAATCAATTTCGTTTTTAAAAGAAAAATAGATTTTTTTAGTGTGTTATAAATAGTGTTTGGCTAATGCCGACGCAATTCAAAGAAAAGTGGGGATTCACCACAGGATTGGACTAAGGAGGGGAACACTTTCAATAACTCTTATAATATGTAATCTATAAAGAGATAAATTTAACTGTTAAATTAATATTTTCAACTCTAAATTTCAAAGAAAATTCTCAACACGGTCTTCACTAAACTAATTCCAATTAATAATGATAAAACAATGCCTTTACCAAAGAGCTACGTCTTATTTTTATTGATTCGCTGATTAAGAAAAAAAAACATTAGAGGACTTATAGATTACAAAAGTAATTATCCAAATAATATTTATTTTTAAAATTTTAAATGTTAATACGTTCCTGCACAGTCAGAATGAAGGCTCCTCCTCCTTTGCAGTAATCCTAAGTTCACTTGTGCGAATCTTTATCGAGACTACAACTAAGCTATGGACCCTATAACAAATCCTGTAAGTTTGATATTATTGCAAGTAATTAAGAATGTTAATTAAAATGTTCTTTTATTACAGCCCATACCTTATTTAGGGCCAATTGGAAATGGGTTTTCTAGTGGTAAACTGATAAGAGTACAAGGAAGTGCTGCACCCCAAGCTGAAAGGTGAGAAACATCCTTATACAAAAAGGTTTATCAATTTTTTGATTAATGCTTCATTTCCAAAGGATTGATTTTAATTTGGTTACAAATGAAAATAAAGATGACATTGGCCTACATTTATCTGTAAGGCTATTAGAAGGATATGTAGCTAGAAATTCTTATGAAGGTGGTATTTGGGGCGCGGAACAAGATAAAGGAGACTTGCCCATCCAACCTGGGGAAAATTTCGAAATTGTTATATTTGCTGATAACTCCGAATATAAAGTATGTAATCACTAAAAAAAGAAATCTTATTTCAGCTCTAATAATTATTGTGACCTTCCCATGAAATGACTAATCGTGATTTTTTTTTCAGATTGCAATTAATGGAAGACATTTTTGCGAATTTCCTTACAGAATCCCCATAAAAAATATTTCTCATCTATCAATTGAAGGACAGGTTTCTGTATCTTTAATTTCTTTTGAAGAAGTACCTCAACATGCAAAAGTTCAAGCTTCAACCCAACAAGATATACCAATGGCTCCTCAAAGTAATATTCCACCACAAGGTCCTGCAAATTTTGGACCTCCAGGATATGAACCTCAAGGACCTCCTCTAGGACAATATGGGCCACCTCCAAATCAATATGGTCCTCCACCAAATCAATATGGTCCTCCTCCAAATCAATATGGTCCTCCTCCAAATCAATTTGGCCCAGGACCTTATGGAGCACCACCTCCTCCACCTGGACATGTAGGTTAAATGTGTTAAAAATGTGTTGATAAAGTTTAGACTTTGTTTATTTTTGGTCAGCAATGCTAAACAATGTTTGCTTGTTTTTATTTTGTTATTTAATACAACATCTTTTTATGAAATGCAAATATTTCTAATTTTAGGATCAAAAAGGTGAATCAGGTTTAGATTCTTTCTTGGGTTCAGCTCAAACTGTAATTCAAGGAGCAATAGCAAGTGGGATGGCAGANATAGTAAAAAATTGATAATATGACTTATTCAATGGTTGTATTTTTGTATATCTTTTTTTATAATGATTGTTACTCAGTGTTGTGTTTGAAATAAATTCTACTCAGCTTGTTAATTTCTTTTTATTGAAAAATTTGACTATTTCAAAATGCTAATAAAAACTAATATGACAAAGCAGGTACAAAACCGTACTTATTTTTCTTTAAAACGCCATCTTTAGGTTTATTTATGTTTTTAATTATTGGAATGGTGTGGTTATTTAATCTTATACCAACTGTTGAAATACAATGGAATTTTGAACAAACCCTCAGCTAAAATTAAATGAATACCAACCCAACAAGATACACCAATGGCTCCTCAAAGTAATATTTCATCACAAGGTCCTGCAAATTTTGGACCTCCGGGATATGAACCTCATGGATCTCCTCAAGGACAATATGGGTCACCTCCATATCAATATGGTCCTCCACCAAATCAATATGGTCCTCCTCCAAATCAGTTTGGCTCAGGACCTTACAACACCTCCTTCACCTGGACATGTGGATTAAATTTGTTAAAAATTTGTTGATAAAGTTTAGACTTTATTTATTTTTGGTCAACAATGCTAAACAATGTTTGTAATTTGCTGTTAAGAATTGCTTGTACTTTTGTTTTTATTATGTTATTTAATACATCTTTTTATGAAATGCAAATATTTCTAATTTTAGAATCAAAAAGGCGAATCAGGTTTAGATTCTTTCTTGGGTTCAGCTCAAACTGTAATTCAAGGAGCAATAGCAAGTGGGAGTGCAGAAAAACTGTTATCATCATTAACAAGTGGAGGAAACAATGTAAGTTTCTATAATGTATTTCATGAAAATTGTAAAAATCAAATAATACTAATTTATTAACCAGCCTCAACAGCAATCGCAACAACAACCCCAAAATTACCAGCAGCAACCCCAACAACAACCTAATATCCCTTCATCTCATCAAAACCAAACCCAACAACCAACTCAAGCTGGCCCTGATATAATGGGAAGTTTGGGTACATTACTAAATACTTTAACAACCCCCCCTCGAGCTCCTTTACAACAAAATCAGCCAAACCAACAATATCAGCAACAACAACCACTGCAACAATCTTCCCAAAACCAGCCTGATGTGCTTGGCAGCTTAGGTTCCTTGCTTTCCACTTTGACTACATCTCCTCAAACTCAACAGCAGCAGCAACATCCATCCCCACAACAACAATATCAACAACCTTAGCAACAACAACAACCAGATACTTTAGGAGTTTTAGGTGGATTGTTATCTTCATTTACTCAAGGACAAACTCAGGCGCAACCGCAACAACCATTAAATCCAAGTAATATTGGGGGACAAGGATCTGTTGGAGGATTGGGTAGTGTTGGATCTTTGTTAACATCATTTGCTGGACAAGTTTTGCAACCACAACCAAGAAAGGTAAGTTGAGTAATGATGTGAAGATTTTAATTAAGTTATGTTTGCTTTTAGGATGGGCATTAAGTCAGGGTGAAGAGATGACNAAAAGGTGAATCAGGTTTAGATTCTTTCTTGGGTTCAGCTCAAACTGTAATTCAAGGAGCAATAGCAAGTGGGATGGCAGAAAAACTGTTATCATCATTAACAAGTGGAGGAAACAATGTAAGTTTCTATAATGTTTTTCATGAAAATTGTAAAAATCAAATAATACTAATTTATTAACCAGCCTCAACAGCAATCGCAACAACAACCTTAAAATTACCAGCAGCAACCTAATATCCCTTCATCTCATCAAAATCAAACCCAACAACCAACTCAAGCTGGCCCTGATATAATGGGAAGTTTGGGTACGTTACTAAATACTTTAACAACTCCCCCTCGAGCTCCATTACAACAAAATCAGCCAAATCAACAATATCAGCAACAACAACCACCGCAACAACCTTCCCAAAACCAGCCTGATGTGCTTGGCAGCTTAGGTTCCTTGCTTTCCACTTTGACTACATCTCCTCAAACTCAACAGCAGCAGCAACAACCATCCCCCACAACTATCAACAACCTCAGCAACAACAACAACCAGATACTTTAGGAGTTTTGGGTGGATTGTTATCTTCATTTACTCAAGGACAAACTCAGGCGCAACCACAACAACCATTAAATCCAAGTAATATTGGAGGACAAGGATCTGTTGGAGGATTGGGAAGTGTTGGATCTTTATTAACATCATTTGCTGGACAAGTTTTGCAACCACAACCAAGAAAGGTAAGTTGAGTAATGATGTAAAGATTTTAATTAATTTATGTTTTTTTAGGATGGGCATTAAGTCAGGGTGAAGAGATGACAAGAAGCATTTGAATTTTAATTTTTTTTTTTTTATTTATTTTACACAAATTTTTATAAATTAGCTTTATTTTTATCAATTACACTTTCTAATATTTTTATTATGTGAGTTGTTTAAATATTGTGTGAGTAATATTTTCTAGTCTGAAGATTAACATTGAATATTAAGCCTACAGATACTCATACTCATAATAAAGTAGTGATGCAGGCATTTTCGAATAAAAAGAGAATTTTTGGATGCTTTTGCAAAATTATTCTTGATCTTTAGTACTCTAATGTGCTTACACAATTTCTTATATTGTAATACTAACAAAAAAAATTTTTAGAGACAGCAATTATTTTTTTATTACTGTGCCTAATGTTATAGTAAAAAATTGATAATATGACTTATTCAATGGTTGTATTTTTGTATATCTTTTTTTATAATGATTGTTACTCAGTGTTGTGTTTGAAATAAATTCTACTCAGCTTGTTAATTTCTTTTTATTGAAAAATTTGACTATTTCAAAATGCTAATAAAAACTAATATGATAAAGCAGGTACAAAACTGTACTTATTTTTCTTTAAAACGCTATCTTTGGGTTTATTTACGTTTTTAATTATTGGAATGGTGTGGTTATTTAATACTGTTAATTCAACAGGTCGAACTGACCCAAAAAAGTCCGTTATTGGTACTTCAGTTAATCTTCGTTTAAATAAATCAGTTCTTATACCAACTGTTGAAATACATTGGGATTTTGGACAAACCCTCAGCTAAAATTAAACGAAATATTAAAATAATTAAAAAAAAATAACAAACATACAAATTCAGCCATGGTTCTTTTACTTCCAGCTCCACATTGTTCCAAGAATTCGAGAGCATAATAAGTATAACGGTCTATAATATACACTCCAATTGATGCATCAACATGATGCTAAAAAAAATAAATATAAATAAAATAATATTTAAAATCCTTTCAAATTTACAGATAATGAATCTTCACCAACTAAACTGCTACCAACAGCTAAAATATTAGGTGAATAAAACTTTTCATACATTGAGGCAGCTTGACATGTATCAATCATAAAAAATATTTCATTATATCGTTGTTTTTGCCACATTTGTTCTAAGGCATCAGCCATTTCTTGACTGGTTATTTCCTCAGAATCTTGGAATTTTAAAAATCCATCACCCCCATGCCCAGTTAAATAAATCAAAATATTACTCCCTTCATCAGTAAGTAGCTGCTTTGATCGCGGAGTTTCAGGAGGTAAACGCCCTGTTAATACTCGTATAAAATTCTCAACAGTAACTTCATATCCTCGATAATCTACCTCCACATCATCTCCGTACACGTTAATATGTTGCTTCGCGTTATTAAAAACTGTAGCTGGGCGAGGATTCCTCGGATTACAAGCCATATCATCAGCAATCATAAGGATAATTTGACTATCTGGAATTCCAAGTCTTTTAACACTACGATAAATTGAAAGAACATTTGCAACATGACGATAATTAAACCAAAATCTTGAAGTATCTACTAAAACGGCCCAATTATTTGTGTGCCCCTTACTATTAGCAGCAAATTGCTCCAAAGCCTAAAAAATTAATTATTTATTATTTGGATTCAAATAATTAAAATCATTACATTATCAGCTAAGACGTTAGAAATGATTAAAAACGATGTTATTAATTTAAAAAAGCAAATCATTTCTTTACAAATAACTTTTTGAATGTTATTTTTGAGGTTAGATTAATAAACATCAATTTTTGTTAATTCTAATTAATACTAATAGATGTCGCGTTACTCCGTAGTGAAACATAACCTCACTTATACATCACATAACCTCACTTTTTTTAGACTTTTCTTTTTGATTATGATTAAGTATGAGTGTTTTATATGAAAATGATAATGCTATTTTTATTTCACACGAAAAATATATTAAAACGATTTATGAATCCGTAGAAAAAGACGGTAATGTTGTTTCGTATCAAGCGAACGAGGATCTTTTTAACATCTCCCATCCCTATGTTAATAAGAAAATTGTAAAGAAGAAAGGTGATGACACTAAAGAAGATACCAAAGAAAAATTTCAAGAACTTACTTGTTCGGTAAGTATTTTCTGAAATTATATTAATTATTAATTTTTTTTGATTTAGATAGGAAGAATTAAATCAATATATGAGATGGTCAAGAAAGAATTAATTGAAAGGAGTATTCTTTTGGTAAACCTAAATGATTATGACGCTAAAGGAAACGAAACTGCCTTAAAATTATCTGATATGATTTATAGAGAATCATCGGAATGTGATATAGAGGGAATAAAAGGAGAGAATCAAAAAGATGTGGCTATAAATGTTACGTTAAAAAATACCGAGTTCTTATTTCCAAAGGATTGTAAATTTTATTGTTCTAATGTAAATGTGATAGGTGATAAATTAGGTTTTGATAATATATTTGATTTAGTAATAATTGATCCACCCTGGTGGAATAAATACGTAAGACGTAAAAGAAAAAAGTCTAATGATGGTTATAACATGCTGTACAACAACAATTTGTTGGATATTCCTATTGAATCGTTAATTCATGATGGAAGTTTAATTGTGGTTTGGTGTACTAATGCTAAATCAAATATAAATAGTCTTAAAAATGATATTTTCAAAAAATGGGGTGTGGAATATTTTGCAACTTGGTTTTGGTTAAAGGTATTAAATACAATTTTCTAATTATGTTAGTGTTGATAACAAGAATTGTAGATTACTAAGAAAGGTGAAACAATTTGCAATTTTTCTGAACCACCCGGTAAACAACCATTCGAACAAATTTTATTTGCTGCTAGAGATGTCACTAAATTTTCGTCAATAATGGATGGAAAAGTTGTTGTTAGTGTTCCAAGTGCACTTCATTCACATAAACCACCTTTAAATGGTAAAACAATAATTTATATTGTAATTATATAATTTTATTTTTCATTTTTTAGATGTTTTACAAAAATTTCTTCCAAAAAATCCAAAGTGTTTAGAAATTTTTGCAAGATACCTACTTCCAAATACAACTAGTTATGGATTAGAAGCCATAAAATTCCAACACATTTCACTTTATAAGGAACAGTCTGAATAAATCAAAGGTGTTTTTTTAAAACATAAATTATTTTATTATTTTTATATTACATTGAAGAATAGGAATTTTATTAATAAATATACAAAGTAACTCCAAGTTATTTAATTTGATATCTTTTGTTCGGTATTCCTCTGGATTCATCTTTTGCCATCTCCAAAAATCTGCACCTAATTTATTTTTTAATTTATGTTAGTTTTTTTTTAGATAAGTATACAGGTGTCTCAGCAAGACCGGTCATTAGACGTTTCTGGGATGCTGGCCAAAATAAAAATTTGAGAATTCAGACAAGTATTATCAATTACGTTCTCTTAGATATACAGGCTGTCCCGTATCTTCCGCATCAGAGCATTAACGGTTGAAGGATGCATTATTCTGAAGCGATTTTTCTAATAAAATTTTTTCGAAATGTTTATAATAACCGCACGGGAACTGTTTAAAATTCTCCGCTTTTATCCAATAACAGACGATTTTGATTCACGGAAAAAGTGTATTTCTCTTTGCGTGTCGAATCTATTGGTAAGTACACGTGGGAAACGTGTTTTGATCGGCGGTCCGGCCGACGGTTGGGCCAATTACCTGAATCTGATTTACGATTTGCCAATGGACGCCGAAAAACAGTTCCCGTGCGGTTATTATAAACATTTCGAAAAAAATTTATTAGAAAAATCGCTTCAGAATAATGTATCCTACAACCGTATAATGCTCTGATGCGGAAGATACGGGACACGCTGTAGATAGTGCTAGTGTAAAACTGGAATTAACACTAGACCTAGAATTAGATACATTCGGGTTTAGCCGCACGTCTGTCAAGACGGCTAAACCCGAATGATTCTAGTTCTAGGTCTTGTGTTAGTTCTAGTGATAGTGCAATACTAGAATTAACACTAGACCGAGAACTAGAAACATTTGGATTTAGCCGCACGTCTCTCAAGACGGCTAAACCCGAATGATTCTAGTTCCAGATCTTGTGTTAGTTCTAGTGATAGTATAAAACTAGAACTAACACTAGACCTAAAACTAGAAATATTCGGGTTTAGCCGTGTGTCTGAAGACGCACGGCTAAACCCGATACTTTCTAGTTCTAGGTCTAGCGTTAGTTCTAGTTTTAGTGCAATAAAAATATGCAACATAGTGATCTTATGCAGGGCCGGCGCGACATAAGCGAAATTTAGGCGGTTGCCTAGGGCGCGCGAGTTTGGGGGGGCGCAAAATTTTGGCACACGAGAAAAAAAGCCAAAAGTTTTGCACTTTCTTAAATTAATCTTAATTGGGCCAAATTTTTAACAAAAGCGACCACTGTATTAGGCAACCTTTAACAATTGTACGTATTACATACTCGACCGGACTATAAGGACTATGTATAATATTTTTAATTTTAACGTGGTTTTCAATTAGTGTATTGCCTGATCTTTTTTACATTCTCTAATGGTCTCTAATGTCTCTAAAGGAAGTAGACATAAATATAACCTTACTTCCTATTGCTTTCACGGGAACCAATATTTA